AAAAAAAAATAAAAATAATTTCATACAACGTACAAGCTCAAAAATCTAGTTAAAATATTAAAATGTAAATTATATATTATTTAATAAATAATTTTTTTTTAAAAATTCATAATATTATATATAAAGTCATTATATAACCTAACTTATATCATATATTAGTCCTAAATTTTAATCCTCTGTATCCCTTCTCTTGAAATTGAGAAATTTATAAATAACCACTTTTTGAAGACTACGAATTACAAATACAATTCGGCCATTGCACTTGGGCTAGGATCGCCCAGTCCATCTTATCTTTGAAGGGATGTGCATGTGCCTCTGCCTATGTGGCGTCCAAGCTGAGCTCTAACCCAACTTTGGGTTGGGCTCAGGCAGTCGAGCTCAAAAGCAGTATACATATATATTCCTCATTTATTTCTTAATTTAGTAAAAAATTATCAAATATTAAGATTTAACTATTTTTTATTTTTCCAATGAAGTTTTTTAAATTTAACTTGTTTTTATAAAAATAAATATTAGAAGAATGCAGTGGTAGCAGCACTCGGCAAACATTTCCCAAAATATTAAAACAGGTTATTTTCACAAGTTAGCAGCTGTAATTGGAAATTTCACTCGGATAAATATAAGATAATTTAGAGATTAAGTCCGACTCAAGGACGGCCAGAAAAAATGGTCAAAACTCAAGTGCTCTCCTAAAACACACAGAAATCATGAGAAAACGTGTTTGATTATGAGCTCACCGCAGGCAGGACTAAATGTTGCTTCAACTACTGCAGAAACTGATTCAGATGTGCATTCGGATCTTTGTAGTCCAACTGCTACAGGCTTAGCCAGAAGCTTAACCCCCTGCTTCCAATATCTGTGATCTGCAATAAACATTGTAAAATGATAAGAGTAATCTCCTACAATCATTTTTCTCCAGATGATTAATTAGCCTCTCTAGGAATACCTACCCACGTCCCCTAAAGGACGTCCTGGTTAAAAACTTGAGTCTCTATGTTAGAGATTTCAAGTTCTGATTTTAGGATAGATGGAGAGAGATTTGGGACGGAAAAAGTTATCTTATATTGTATAACCAATTATTCCATGTACCAAGAAAAAAAAAAAAAAAGGAAATACCAACCCGGCCCAGTTGACAACACAATTGCATTGTCTGCATCCATCACCCAATCAATCTATAGGACGAACCCGTGGCATATCCCAGGCTCAGTGAATTTCACCTGCAGGAATAACTTTTTCCAAGATTAAATGTGCAAGATATGTTAATTTAAGCATAAAAAGATGGCTTCCATCATGGTTTATATTACTCGCTACTGATCTTATATGTTTAATTAATTTGCAAGATGCATAATGGGCTAACAAGTCCTAGCTCTGATGTCAAGTATATGGATCCAGCAGAATGGATGGACAAGAGAAGTTACATCATGCTGTAAACTAGCTGGTGAATTCTCCTGTTTAAGCAAAACTATGGAATTAAACAAAGTTAATGAAACTAGATCGGTATATTGTAGAATTATGCGACCCATATAAGAAGATGATGAAATTTAGGTGAGAATTTCTAGTAATCTATGTTACTTTTGCACATAAGGTGGACTGATACCTGCACTTGTCCATAACGTGGAGTAATTGGTTTTGAGCAATCAAACTCCAATAAAGTAAATATCTCACTGAGCTCCTGCAACATATTCAAAATATTTGCAAGATATCAATTCCATGATTAGGTGTCATCATAATATCAATTCCATGAATGTGAGTATTAACTACCTCAATCTCACCACACTGCCAGATAGGAAAGGGCAGACAGGATCCCTCTTTTGGAACCGGTAATTCACCACATGCACCTAAAGTAGTATTTACTATTGAGTGATCAAAGCCTTCAATCTCATTTAAGCAACAGCGACTGTTCCAAAGATCCTGCATAAAAAGTTATTCACAATTGAATTTCAAATACTTGAAAAAAAATATTTTAAGTTCACTCCTCGGGTAGCCATTCGCCGGAGCCAGGGGATGCCCTTGCTGGTTCTTCTCAGCTATTTTTCTTTGTATATCAGAATCAAACAAAGGAAATGTTTTTCCTAGTATCTCTATTTTTCTGCCTTTCCCAAAAAATTAAAAGAAAAAAATATCTCTGTTTTTTCTGCTTTTCCGAAAATTTTTTTTTTTTCAAGTATCTGTTTTTTTGCTCTGTTTCCCCTGTTTTCTTTGAGAGTTGAAGAAATGATGTGATAGGTTGTGGTAGATCCAGGGCGACAGGGCTGATATATAGTTAGTGTTTGTGGGAATGGTAATTATTAAAAACTAGAAAATTGTAAGGGGAAGGCAATTTCCGGGGAAGGTGAATGGAAAAGTGGAGAAAATTTGTTCAAATTCCAAACGCGGCAATGTTGGTATGGTTGGTTTCTAGATGGTCACTTGACTTGGGGAGAAGTCTATATCTTATGTAAGAATAATTCGATGATGAATTATGACGCCAAGAGAAGTTGTTCATATTGGTGTGGTTTGACACCTAAAATAGTATCAAAGCCAGCAGGAAGAAGATGTTTGCCATCTGATGTCACATAAATCATGTAGCTTCCACAAGTATATATGGGCATTCAACCAGCTACAAAAGGAAGAGAGAAAAAGAAAAATAAATCAAATAATAGATAGAAAAAATACAATAAAAATGAAAAATAAGAGTTAAATCACAAAACAACCAGCAGCA